GGGTCTGCAGTAGTTGACACCTGAGGAGCCGCGAAGCCCGTAGGATGCACTCTGCCAACGCCCTGTGCGTAACTCATAACTCTCGCCTGCTCGACCTGTGCTCTCTTTTGCGCCTTGGCCTGGCGACTCTCCTCCATCGCCTTCGTCCTCGCTTGTGTCTCTTTGTCGTATATCGAAGTGTTGATGAGCTGCATATGACGATCGCGTTTCACAACCCACTCATTTGGTGTAGCAGATCGCGCCTCACCGTCTGTATCAGTCCCCGTGCCAGCTGGAGTAGCCGATCCAGGTGTACCTGATGTTGCGTTGTTGAGGATGAGGGTACGGTGGCGATGGGGAGCTACATGACGTCCTCGTGAGTAGTGTCGTCCACGATAAGGCGCCCACCCGCGACCTCGATAAGGAACATGCCGCGAAACGTGTTGGCCTGGAGCTATTTCACTACTGTAAGGTGACTCAGGTTGAGACTGTTGGGTTTTGTGCCTATTAATCTGGCCTGGTGGAGGTTAGAGATTGGCACGGTTATGGATAGCTAGAATGCGCTTACCAGCAAGCTGGCTGATTTTGGCCATCAGATCCTGATCTTCTGTCATTTTATCCTGAGTAGGCGGCCAAAGCCACGTTAGCAAGTCACTCAATGTAGAATCTTCAGTCTATACTGGGTAGTTGAATGACAGACGCCGCTGAGTTGTAAGAGATGAGCTTGTGTTGATGATGCGGATGATGAAATGACGAACGCGGTGTGTGGCGGCCGATGGTCACGTGTTACTGCGCTTTGTACGATCGCTGTCTATGGTCTGACAATGACTACGTTGTGAGAGTTTCTACTTTGAACATAGAAAATTTCAATGACTTGAGCGATTAAGCTCGATGATATTGTTCTGTAATAATGTGTGTTAGATGTCGGGCCTGTCATCTAGGCGCTCATAATATACTATCTAAACAGCCTGTATCAAATCACCCAAACCCCAAAGTAACGCCATGGCCCTTATGCTACATAGGATCCGTATCCTTAGACAACGTTCTCGAACTGTCCTTCGTCATTATCGGTCATCATGCCGGAAGGAGTGGCCTCCTCTTCAGAGCCATCCTCGAAGTTGTAGTCTCCCGGTGCGAGTTCATCCTTAGCATCGTTGTACATCGCATTGGCGTAGTTGCTTTCCCTCGCTTCGGGCTTCAGCTCCCAGGTCATAGCAAAGTCACCGGCTTTGACCAAATGCGCAACCATTTCCAAAGTTTGTTTGAGATAAGCCTCGGGCTGTCGCAGTCTCGCCTTGAGGTTCTTAAATGGCCAGTACTTGTATTCCCTGAAGCACTGGTAGATAAGATCCAACAGTTCGTTTTGAGGCATACGCGTGGTTTTGTTTTCCTGGGCCTTGGGCTTGGCTGGCCTCGTTGCTTGCTGAAATGGAAAGGATTTTGTAAGTCAGGTAGAACTATTAAGCACGGCAAAGGAAAACTTACCACAAAAGCACCCTTCTCTCCAGGCAATGCATTCCGTGGCTGGAGCATCTTGCCTGGAATCTTATCGATAAATACAGTCTCACGCTTCGGTTTGAGTGCCTCCAGAGCCTTCTTCTCCGAAAGGCGCCGGAATTCCTCATTTTCGACCGGAAGGCAGTTGAACTCTTCGCTCACGCTCCCCACCAAAGCCGTTTGTTCTGTTGCAATGTGAGCAAGATCTCCTTTGTCGCAGCAACAGGGTACATACTTGGTACAGTTTTTCTGACGTAAGGCTCCCATTTCTTCTTGCGCTCCTTCTTCTTCATTTCCCGCTTCATCGACTCATAGAGCGCCGAACGCGCCTCGCCAAAAACCACCATTCGATTCTCATGACCTGGGAGGTCCCTCTCGGTGAAAAGGTACGTATTTTGCGTCAAGTGCGAAACATTCTCTGAGGTTATCGTTTGCCGTTGCAGTAGGTAGTCTTTTGGAATATCGCGATTGTCTTCTCGTGCGTTTATGCGCAAACTGACCTACAAAGGTCACAAAAGTCAGTCCGTGTAACACAAAAAACACAAACCGAGGTACCCTTGACAAAGTTCTTCGCAGATTGACACATACCCGTTTGAGATCATTCTGTGTACCCTCGATCCTCATTGTCCCGATCTGAATTTCCTCGTCGTCATCGCCGGCGCTGTTTGACAGATGCGCCCAATGTTCCCATAGTGACCGGGGCAGCCGTGAGAGCCAGACGCTTTGGTTTGCAGCCGAGAAGTCTAGATCGCCCGCATCCTCATACAAGTCTTCATCGTCGATATCAGCGAGCACTGTGTCCTTGCTGTCGGGATCCTGTTTGATGTATGGGTCGGGTTTGATGTATGGTGTCTGGGAATCAGGCTCCTGTTTGACTTGGGGGACCATGGCGCCACACAGCCTAATACTGGCGCGAGAAGAAGGGTCGACTAGTAGCCCGACTTTCCGAAGATAGTGAAGCGATCGTAACCGAGGCGTAAGAGAGCGATACAAATCAAGGGATTAGATGAGTCCAAAAGAAAGCGTCAGTGACGTACGCGATGTTGAAGCTTCGAATGGGGAAGATGCGTCGCCGCAAGCAAGAAACCCGCCGCCCGAGCGGGTCGTCAAAGGCGGTGGGCAACTTGCGCTTTGAATAGAAAAACATTAACACAATTCCATTCATACTTCTGCCTCAGCTTCCTAGCTTTCAACTTTAACATTAACCTGAAGATTCTTTTTGGATAATTTGCTTTTTCTCAATCTACTATACACGGCTGTTCCAAGTCAGCCCACACGATACTACTTAATAATCCGTATCCTGAGGCGGTAATCTCCATCAATAGGACTATATTTCTTGGGGATGTGCAAGACATAGTACTAGTATGCCATAAAGTTACAGGATGTTCAAGCATCAGACAGGAAAACTTCCTAGTATTCTGCCCAAAGTCAATGATTAAGCCGTCGAGTTGTAAGCCTCTGCAGTAGATGCGCTGCATTGAGTGCTGTGCTTGTAGTCCCTTATCGATAAGCCACCCCAGCTTCACTTCTCCTCCATCGGCATCCACGCCATATTCCTGACGTACACCACCTCATCAACCCCTCTGCTCATTAAAGAACACCACTTCCACCCGCAATTACCCGCCAACTTACCATATCTCACATAAACCCTACCATCACCCTCTAGACACATCACCACCTCACTCATGGCCTCCCAAAAAATCACCTCCGCCCTCGCGGAGATTGAATCCTCCGCGAACCCCCAAAACAAGCTGCAGCTCTACAACAACCTCCTCAGCGACATCGTATCGACATCCACAGAACCCCAGATCTCCAGAGACCTCATCTACTTCCTTGACTCCGTACTCAGCGAAGACATCAGCATCGTCGCCGCCCGCCCCATCCTCGATTCCTTCATCGCCGTCCTCCGCAAACTCACCCAAGAAACCCAAATCAGCGTCGGTCAACACGCCATCACCCTCCTCCAATCCCGCTCCACCTCCGTCGAAGAACAAGATGCACAGATCCGCGAGCTCCTCGCAGACGCCTACGAAGCCGAAGGCCAGTACACCGACGCCGCGAAAGCCCTGCAGGGCATCCACATCGACAGTTCGCAGCGGCTAGTCTCCGACGCCGCCAAGGTGCGACTATGGATTCGGATCGTGAGATACTACCTCGAAGAGGACGATACCACCAGTGCGGAAGCGTTCTTGAACCGCATTAAGAACCTGCCGAGTAAGATTGAGGATCACGAGTTGAAGCTGCATTTCAAGCTATCCCAGGCTCGTATTCTGGATGCTCGTCGGCGCTTCCTCGATGCTAGTCAGGAATACTTCAATGTTAGTCTTGCGGCGGGAGTGGATGAACAGGATCGGTTGCAGGCCTTGGCGGCTGCTATTCGGTGCGCGGTGCTCGCTCCGGCTGGGCCGCAGCGGTCTCGGATTCTGGCTACGCTGTATAAGGATGATCGGTCGACGTCGGTGGATGAGTTTGCTATCCTGGAGAAAATGTTCCTGGATCGGTTGCTGAATCCGGAGGAGGTGGCTGCGTTTGCGCAGCGGTTGGCGCCGCATCAGTTGGCTGTGACGGCGGATGGGTCTACCGTGCTGGATAAGGCTGTTGTTGAGCACAATTTGGTGGCGGCTAGCAAGCTCTACGAGAATATTACGACCGATGCGTTGGGTGCGATTCTGGGGCTCCAGGGGAGTGGGGACTTCACGGCGGGGGAGAAGGCGGAGGATTATGCGGCGAGGATGGTCGAGCAGGGTCGTTTGAAGGGGAGTATTGATCAGATTGATGGGATCATATACTTTGACGGAGGGAATGCGACTACAGGACAGCATATCCGGCAGTGGGATGCTGGGGTGCAGGGTTTGGCTGAAGATGTGGAGAGAGTGGCTACGAGCATCACCAATGCGTTTCCGGTGAGTATTATCGTCTAAATGCTATGTGGTCTACAGTGAGCTAACATAAGAGTAGGATTTTGCAGCTGGACAGCCGACAGTGCATTGAGGGTATGAAATGATACACCCTGAATCAGAAATTAGCTAGCGATATGTTTGTTTCACAGGCGTAATGATAAGAAGATGCGCAGAATATATGAGTATGGTACATGTGTTTGATGGTCGTTAAAAGCGTATGTTATATCGTGCGTCGAATGTAGGTGAAGATCAGGAGCTGTGACCTGTGTCGGAAGCGATGTATCGGGATACCCGAATGATAATCAAGGCTGGCCATGTCTCAAGCCAAAGGGGCATCCAAGTCTGTGTACCCATGGAGTTCCGAGTTGCCTCTTTGTGTATGTAGAGAGACAACTCTCATCTGCTGTGGCAGGTAGTAGCATATGCACGCGCAGGGATACAGCGACGTGCCATATAGCTGTGCGCAACACTGCTATGCGGATGGGTTTGTACCATGTCCGGCACGATTCATGGGACCGAAGCTCAGAAGAATGTGAGGCGATCCGGCACCACTCAAACCGGAGCTACTCGCCACACGGGCATCAAGCTCAGTTGGCATACAAGCCGAGGCGAAAAAAGAAGGTCTGTAGACCAAGTCTCACACAGTCGACCGACCTCATCTCAAATACCGCGGCAGATCGTCTTGCCTAACATCAATTTCCGTGCGAACAGTAATATCCAGCCAGCTAGTATCATTACTCTTAACACTGGAGGGCAGACCGCCCTCACTCGAATTCGACCTTCTCGGGACACCATTCTCCAACTTAATAGACTCCGCAGTGGGAGTCTTGCGACCCGTAGCCACGAAGTTCGAGGTACTGACATCGGTATTCCCATAATAGGGGACCTCATTCCGGTACTTGTAGTTGTTGCTCGAGAGCTTTCCTCTCGGAAACAAGCCTCGGATGGTGGGCAAACAAGAGCAAATAAGCCCAATGGAGGGCTCGATATGCGTCCATAGCGTAGCTTGATAGACGGTATAGGTCATATCCGACTCATTGATCCAGAAGAGGACGACAACGCGGAAGATACTCGCGAAGAAAACGAAGCCGCCGAGAGCGAAGACGCCGTTGATGGCGAGTTTGTCTTGCCAGGCGCGGTGGAGACCCCAGATCAAGGGGATGGGGAGGGCTAGGAGGACGAAATCCATGACTACGTTGAAGATTTGATTGACAACGATTAGGGTATAGCCGTCTAGGCATTGGCCGTCGACGCTTTGGTCCCAGTAGGCTTTTAGGGGGCGGCATTGGAGAGCGCAGGCGAGGAAGACGCCCAGACCCCAGAGGCTTATGAGGACGTTGATGCTGAAGGATGTCCATTGGAAGGTGCGGGTGGTGAAGATGCGGCGGTAGAAGCAGACGATTGAGACTTTGATGAGGGGGCAGAGGGAGAAGTAGGTGAATTGGTTGGCGAGGAAGATCTGAGGTGTGTCAGTTGGTGAAGATGGGATGTGAGTGTGGTAGGGGCAGTTGGTACCTTGTAGAAGTTCATCATTGTCTCGTTGCTCAGTTTGCTTTGGTGAGAGCCATTGCCGCCGATGGTGACCCCTTTGATTGATTATTAGCAAGGTTGAATACTATGTATTGGTGAGTGTTTTCTAAGATAACTCACAAAGAGACAATTCAATGAGCATGCCGATTAGTAGGAGCATGCATGCAAAGCAAAGGTAGTCGTCCACCCCGAAATGTACTTTGCGTTTGAATCGGGCGACTATGCGTAGAATGACTGCCAAAAATGCGAGACTAACAAGCACCGTAACGATGCTTATCATTTCCACTCCTCTCGATGTAGGAGCCATGTTGTATAGGGTGTTACTGGAAACAATGGCTTTAGGAAATGAAGAATAAGTATGAAAGAGCGTTTGATTGAGCGAGGGTAAGCAATATGATGCCTGTGATCATTACGCTTCGTAGTCCATTTGGGCGGTAGATATGGAAATGAGTGTTGATAACGAATGGTCAAGTGCAATGAGGAGGGTGCTGAGATATAACGAAGGCAATCCGAGTATATACCGAAGTATGAACTACTATGTGGACTGGGAAAAAGGGACAGAGCTACAAAATAAGGTGGAAGCCTATTGAATATGTATGGAGTGGACCAAGGGTATCATACCTCGAACGCTTGATCGCAGGGAAAAGTGGTAGATCTAGATATGGGCCCTCTTTCCGTATGAGGATACTCACCGCGCCCATAGAGCAGGGAGCCAAAGGACCCTCATCTTGCGAGCTTAAAAGCAAGCCTCTCATTTGCGGGTGCCTCTTTTCCCACACAATCCACAAACTGGAATTTTTGGTTCTTTGAAACGCACCCGAAAAACCATTCACCAGGGCACGCTGATAGTCTCCACGGTGTGCTAAGCAAGTGGAGCCGGTCGTATGACTTGAGTCGGGGTGGTCTCAATGTGTCCACTCTGATGTTGACAGACAGACCACCCTCGTGGCAAGGAACAAGCCATCATTAGATTTGTAAACGGTAATACTGGTAGCCCGGATAGTATAGATAACTCATTTGGCGACATAATCACCGCGATTCCCGACTTGTGCTTCAACCCCAATTCATCAGGGTCATGCAAGGTAATTTCCAGCGTAATATCAGTTAATATAGATCCCAGTCTACCTTCAGCTAGTCTATTTCGCACTTGGCTCCAATGTATCGGGATCTCGGGATCCACGGCGTAGGAACCCTGGCTCCAAGTGTATTAATTGTGGCGAGCATACGCAATGGGCGGTGATAGCGCCAGAGTGTTTCACTCTCCATCATGTTGATAGTAGATCAGTGAAGAACCCCCCCCCCCCAGGTTTGGGGTACTTCGAAAGTTTGTTTTTCTGCTATTGAACTGACTGATCTGCAATATCTTCTTCATCCGATAATCTGCAGTATATAACAAGTTACTCATGGCGATCGCGAATTCAATTGCACTCACTGTTAAGTGCGCATTCCGTGTTTCCACAAAAGCGGATCAGGCGATGGCTGACGAGGGGTGAGGTGGGTATAGAAAGAGCCTATCGGGAACCCTAAGGAACTCAGATGGGTATGTTCAGCCCCGTGCTCCTTGAAACTGGAGAACTGTGGTTTCAGCTCCTCCAATCAGGATCGACTCTGCCTATTTGCAGTCATTCAGAAATTTTCACTCATCGCAGTAGTAATCGGCCAGACTGTCCCAGCTACTCCACCGCCCTGGATGAGGTGGTAATAATGACTCGCAATGAGGCATGTAGCACACTCACTGGTCTTCGTCTAAAAAGGCTATTAGAGTGTAGCCATCCAGGTATCGTTGAAGTTTCCTCACTTTCAGCTTCTTCCCGCTTCTCTTTCCGTTCCATGTCTGTTTGATCCAAATGCTTTTATTAGCCGAACCACGGGTGGCTTTTTTGATCGACAGCTGCCGGTTCCCAAAAGGGCCGAGCGTTACCTAAACTCAACGATCAACCTCGGCGCTTCCGAGGAAAGGTACGTGGAAGGCAACAGTCTTGAATTCTCTCACGTCAGCGAGCACATGGCTTGCAATGCATAAAGTTGCGGCTATTGGAATAGTTTCCTCAATGGTCTCTTAAAAGTGGATTGGAGCCACCTTAACTGGGCCAGTATCAACAAGGTTCCATCCCTGTTCGTGTGCAGCATGCATGCATAACATTGATCGACTATATATGTAGTGAGATGAGTCTTAGCATTCTTAGCTGTCTGGTATTCATCACAGACTACTAGTACTTTAAGACATCAGGGGTATGGAGTAGGGAGTAAATACTAATGGTAAATAGTGACAAGTCGTAACTTGGATTTGCCGCGGTATGAAACCCGAGAGTACTCCGTAGAACCCCTATCTGAGAATTGGTCTCCTTCCAAGTTTATGCCCTGCACCCTCGTTGGAAATGGTGGCACTCTCAACGTAGCGAGTTTCATATGTGTATAGGATAGTGATTTTAACTTTAGGGAGAATACATTGATCCTGGGAACAATCCTGAGGCAGTTGTCACACGTGGCTGGAGTGAGGGCTTCCCCCCCGCCGAGCTGGAAAGGTGGGGTCGTGTTTGTAGAATTGGCTTTGTTTGTGTAATCAATTGACTCCTCGGCTGACTCTCCCACCAAATGCAGGGTCTTCGATTGTGGTTCAGTCCTTCAAACGACATCTTACCTATTAATTCCGATTGTTAACCCCCTGGTGGGATACCCCTATTGCTTGAATGTCCCGTTCGTGAACACATACTATCATTTGTTTCTACCCGCGCCCATACTTTGACAGAACCTACAATGGCTGCACCTCCCCGCCCCCCGGTGATCCCCTTGATCATCAACGGTCAAGAGGAATGCACGGGCTCTACCTTCGACGTCATTAGCCCCTATACCAACCAGACCTGTTGGACAACTGCATCAGCCTCGGCTCAAGATGCCATCCGCGCAGTTGAGGCCGCAGAGGCCGCGTTTCCTTCTTGGTCGCAAACAAAACCCACAGTTCGGCGTGATCTCCTGCTAAAGGCAGCCGACATTTTGGAGAGCCGCCTCGAGCAGAATGCCGAATATATGCGAACTGAGATGGGCGCAGATGTGGGTGCGTCACAACATTTCATCGTTCCACTCGGGATCCGCATGTTGAGGGATATCGCGGGGCGCATCACTTCCATTTGTGGTAGCGTCCCCGTTGTCGAAGAGGAGGGCCAAAGTGCCATGATCTACAAGGAGCCCATGGGGGTGATCCTCGGGATCGTGCCCTGGTATGTCCACCACCATTCATACATGTGAACTGCCTACTGACCTAACAGGAATGCTCCATATGTGTTTGGAGTCCGTTCTGCAGCCTGTGCACTTGCGGCGGGCAACACGACTATCTTGAAATCCTCTGAGCTCTCTCCTTGCTCGTACTGGGCACTTGCGCGCGCTTTCCATGATGCAGGCCTACCTGCTGGTTGTCTAAATTTGGTATCATGCCGACCTCAGGATGCCCCCGAAGTAGTTAACGCCATGATCGAGCACCCGGCCGTGCGCAAGATTAATTTCACCGGCAGCACGGCCGTAGGCAGAAAGATTGCGGGCGCCTGTGGTCAGAATCTCAAGCCATGCTTGATGGAGTTGGGAGGCAAGAACAGTGCCATCGTCTGTGCAGATGCTGATATCAAGACTGCTGTAAAGGGAGTCCTTGCGGGCGCTTATCTGAACGTATGTAGCTCGCCCTTACACCATATGCTACCGTATTCTCGCTTCCGGTGACTGATTTTGCATAGTCTGGCCAAATCTGCATGGCAACTGATCGAATTCTTATTCACTCCTCTATTGCACCCGTTTTTATCGAGGCGCTGAAGGAGGCACTCACATCCAGCGTAGACCCTGCGTCTCAGCCTCCGACTCTAGTGAACATGGCGTCAAAAGCACGGGTTAGCAACCTCGTCAAGGATGCTCTGGCAGGTGGAGCCCACTTGATTCACGGATCTGTAGACCTCGACTCCGCTCAATCAGACAATGGCGTTCGGATGGCGCCTGTGCTCCTGGGTGGTGTCAATGAAAAGATGGCCGCTTGGCAAGAAGAGGCCTTTGCCTCCTTGGCAGCATGCATGATTGTTGAGAGCGATGAAGAGGCAATCAAGATCGCCAATGGTAGTGGCTACGGTTTGTCTGCAGCCGTCTTTACCGAAGACTTGCGAAAGGGCCTGGCCATGGCCCGCAAGATCCAGTCAGGGTAAGCCATTTCTCCTATGCGTCTGTCTCTTGAGAGCTGAGAAACTAACTGATGGTTTGCAGTGCCGTTCACATCAACAGTATGACCATTCACGATGAAGCTGTCCTGCCGCACGGTGGAGTTAAGAACAGCGGATGGGGCCGGTTTAATGCATCCCAGGGACTGGAGGAATTCCTGGTTACGAAGAGTGTGACGTGGATGGATTAATTGGAATTGCGGAGCATTCCTCTACATACATATAAGCGTCAATTTAGTATAGAAAAAATTCTTACAGTTGCTGCCTCGATGGCATTATATGCAGAATGGAAGGCCTGAGGGGTCTCTAATGTTTTCAACCGCATTCACAGATTTTCGAATGATTTTCCAAGAATCATATTCTACTATAACAACCTTCCGCCATTCTGACATGGGTTTCAATTGCCGTTGTAAAACTATTAGTGCCTACTTGCTCTCATCCATGTTTCAGTACTCCGATAGATGCAAGTCTGTCTTTTGACAGGTGATTGGGTTATGTGGTTCCTGACATACGAGGCGACCGACAAGTCTCACAGGTACTACTTGAGCGGCCTTTGATCATGTGCCACACGGCCAAGAGGTTTGCTCTGTGAACCTCAAGCTCATCTTGTCTCCATTACTTAAACTCCAGCAGCCAATTACTGGCGAATAAAGCGCCAAACAGATATTAGAACAGCTTGAGGATGCTGGCCCTCTTACCTTATGTCTTTGCTGACCTTACTGATTCATCTCTTGCTTATTAATAAATGCCTTGCAGTTCTTCGTACTTCTACCGTTGATAGGATTATAAAGTGAGTACTCTTTTTGGTCAACGTCACGTAGTACGTTTACTAAAGCCAGCTCCAATCACCGTTGAGTAACTACAAGGCTAACATCCAGAGCAATCCAGTCCAATCGGAATGATCACACGTCTTTAGTTAGTGTGCCGCCTAGGAGAAGCTCCCTGTCAATAACGCATATCCGTTACCTATCACGCCCTCGTGAGATGCCCTGCGGCTGGAAAGTGTGACGAGAATAAGGCCCACATACCATGACCTAAACAAAGAAAAACCACTAGGTTTACTGAAAAGTTCTTTCGATTGCTTCTTAGTTACCAATCCCCGAGTCAACCCTTGCCAGCAGCGAATATAACCTTATCACGACAGCTACAAAGCGTTTTGGGATACCAGGAACGTTCTATTCAGGTCCCTTTCGAGCAGTGGGTGACATGTAATGTAGCATATCACATTATGAAAGAGCCGCGGAAAAGCTGCATTATCGTGCCACATAGACGAGTTACACAACTGGCCTGGATTTTCATCCAATCCGGTATATTACCTCGAGAACTGCATCTGTGTCGTCTCGCCGTGAAAGCATAGTGGGTAAGTGATCAGCCTGCACTCTCTGAATGCGAGAACGACTGGAAAATTTTTCATAGTTCCGCAAACGCGTGGTGCTAACGATATATCGTCTAGGTCACCTCCCCAGCAATGTAACCACATGCATACTGCATGCTTGGTTGCGACAATTTCTACTCGTACGCTTTGTGTAGTGACAAAGCTTGACGCTAAACCATAATTTCATGTACCCCATGAGAACCCGAAAGGTCACACAATCGGTAGTACAAGCTCTGGATTACTGAATATGATGGCTGTCGATAATGGTTTATTTCTCTGAAGCAAATTTAGCCAGAAACACAGAGAGGTTTTCCCTAGATTGTCTCATCATCGACTCTACTCAATGACGACGAATATGCAAGCATTACATACAAACAGTGGAGACGATGAAAGAAATGATTTCAAGTCAGGAAAGGACACCCCCTTGTCAACATTCCCTGGCCTTGATGAAAATGGCCCGGTTGCTCCCTGTGGAGAATGTACATCGAATGTGGACTTGCCAGATGTCTCGCGTGCTCAACCATCGGAGAATGTATTAGCATGTTTATCTACCCCAATTGCGATAGTAGGTATGACAATGAGACTCCCTGGGGGTGTTCGCACAGGCGATCAGTTTTGGGATTATTTGATGAAGAAAAAAGACGGCCTTTGTGAGGTGCCGAAGAGCAGATATAACGCAGATTCATTTTATCATCCGACAAGAGAGCGCTCCACTCGAACAAAGTATGGTTATTATCTGCAAGAAGACCCGGCCCATTTCGACGCCGAATTCTTCGCCGTGCGAAACCATGAAGCAACCCGAATGGACCCGCAACAGCGGCTCCTTCTGGAGTTAGTTTGGGAATGCCTTGAGAGCGCGGGAGAAACGGATTGGGAAGGTAAAGATATTGGCTGCTTTGTTGGTGTTTTTGGAGAAGACTGGTTAGGTCTTGCTCATAGAGATCCACAGACTGTCGACAGATATCATGCTCTGGGCACAGGTGATTATGTTTTGGCCAATTGTATTTCCTACAGATACGACTTCCGGGGTCCCAGGTACGTGACGAATCCAGAGCGAAGCTATTCGGGCATCACGATTAATCTCTGGCTTTGTATTCAGCATGACCATCAAAGCTGCCTGTTCATCCTCCCTGACTGCACTTCATGAAGCATGCCAGGCACTAGCCTCTGGAGCTTGTTCATCGGCCATAGTTGCTGGAAGTAATCTTATCATGTCGCCAACCATGACAACAAGCCTATCTGATAACATGGTGTTATCCCCAAGTGGTGTTTGTAGGACGTTCGACGCCCAAGCTGACGGCTATGGCCAAGGTGAAGCAATTAATGTGCTGCACATAAAGCGCCTAAGCAGTGCAAAGCAGGCAAATGACCCTATAAGGGCAGTTATTCGGTCAACCGCTGTGAACTATGACGGGAAAACAGCAAATATATCTGCCCCATCCGTTCAGTCCCAAGAGAGTCTTATTCGAAATGCATATCAAAGGGCTGGAATCGATGAGCTTCTAGAAACTGCCTTCGTTGAGTGCCATGGTACTGGAACGGTAGCAGGAGATGCGGCTGAGACAACAGCAATTGACAATTGCTTCAAGCCGAGCGGGGTAATTATTGGCGCGGTGAGCATCTCATACCTGCCTGCAAGTTGAAGTGCTGAGCAAACCAGGTTAAACCTAACTTTGGCCATTCAGAGGGTGCATCGGGTATCACGAGTCTCATCAAAGCTATCTTGTCACTCGAAAACTCAACAATTCCGCCAAATATACACGTGAACATTTTGAATCCTCAAATTCTAGAATCCAGTTTAACGGTCCCTCTAGAGCCCATGAAATGGCCCGCCGATCGACGCCAAAGGGTTAGTATAAATGGATTTGGCATAGGTGGTGCAAACGCCCATGTCATATTGGATTCTGCAGCGGAATATTGTGGCAAGTTCCAGGGTTCCCAGAGTTCCGAGTCAGTAGACGGAGCTAAGCTGCTTGTGGTCTCAGCCCAAGGCTCAAAGAGTCTGGAGAGCCGCATTGGGCAGGTGTGTGACTATGCAAACAGATTCCCTGATCAACTATGTGATCTTTCGTTCTCCCTGGGAGTAAGAAGACAGCATTTGGTCCACCGAGCATTCTGTGTGGCTTCCTCAAAATCCCTTACGATCTACGATGTTTCAGAAATCCTGCACTCAAGTCTCGCCTCAGCTTTCATTTGTTTTTACTGGTCAAGGATCCCAGTGGACAGGTATGGGGAAAGGGCTATTGAAGAAATATCCTTGTTTTGAGGAAGACATGTTAAGGCTTGAGAGAGCTCTCAAAGGTCTTGAAGATCCACCATCATGGTCTCTTCAGGGTGAGTCGGGGGTTCCCTCTACATTAGCAAGCACGTACTGTTTACTAACAGGCGTTAAAGAGGAGCTGTGCCGGACAAGCGACTCACGCGTTAATGAAGCAGAATTCTGTCAGCCACTCTGTACGGCCATTCAGATAGGACTTGTCAATCTTCTCGCGTCCTGGGGAGTGCGGCCAGCTGCTGTAGTTGGGCACTCCAGTGGTGAAATTGCAGCTGCTTATGTAGCAGGCGCTATCTCGGAGAAGTCGGCTATAATACTCGCATATTATCGCGGCAAGCTGGCCAAACAACAAATGGGTCTGGGGGAAATGGCAAGTATCGGCCTCTCAAGCGAAGAGGTAACTTCATATCTCGAGGACGGAGTGGTAATCGCATGCAGGAATACTCCTCAAAGCGTCACTCAATAAGTAGAATCGACATTATAGTGGAGAGGATCAGGAATGATCTTCCTGATATCTTCTGCAGAAACCTTGGGCTCAAGATCGCATATCACTCGCGTGAGTCACCAGTATATCGCTACGAAGGGAATCGGCACTGACTCTACATCAGACCAAATGAAGTGCCTGGGGGCCCTTTATGAAGCCTCTATAACAGGTCACTTGCAAATAAACTCTCATATGCGGCCGATGCTGTCAAGTGTCACTACGGCTATGGTGACGGACCCTCAGGAGCTTGGCGCAGCCTACTGGAGACGAAACCTTGAGTCTCCTGTTCTTCTTGCAGATGCAGTGAGCAATCTGCTAAAGGAAGACAAGGCCCATATACTACTCGAAATAGGTCCCCATTCTGCACTATCAGGTCCCCTAAAGCAGATATTTCGTAGTTACAGCCTGAAGCATGGCCCACTCTATATTCCCACCTTGAAACGCTGCGATGATACCAGCTTCGATGCTAGCTGTGAAGTTCAGCTCTTGTCCGCGCTAGGCTTGATCCACAGCAACGGGGCCATTGTTGACCTGATGTCAGTGAACGGTATGGGGCATGTTGTGACAGACCTCCCGCCGTATCCTTGGCAACACGGAGCACGATACTGGAATGAAAGCCGTTTGGTGAGAGACTGAGATTGAGCAGTATGCCACCTCATGAACTGCTCGGCTCACGGTGTCCCGAGTCCACAGATCTTGAACCTTCGTGGCGGAACATCGTTGGCACTGGGAGCAACCCATGGCTTGCTGACCATATCCTCCGTGGTCATATAGTATTTCCTGCAGCTGGTTATATCGCTATGGCAGGTGAAGCAGTCCGGCAGCTCAACCCAGGCACTGAGGAATGGGCCTTACATGATCCCAGAGAGATGGAACCAAGAGCTCCAGGATGCTGGCTTCACCGGGGCTGAGGCAATCCGTTACGACTTTCATGCGCCTTTCCGATCTTCAGCAACCTTGATTACGAGGCTCATACCCGGATCAACAATCAAGCCACCTATATCGTTGCTAGTTGCCGACCGGCAGTCTCCAGGTATCTGGGCGAATACTGTTCATGCTAGGCTCACAGACCTAGGGTATATGGTGGAATGGACAACCCTGGCTGATCCGCCAACAAACAAGAAGTGCATTATAGTCTTGCTTGACCAGGAGGCCCCGTTTCTTTTCAAATTGACAGGTAATAGTTTCCATGTACTAAGGGATTATTTAGCACAGATCAGTCAGTGTGTCACACTATGGGTTACGAAGAGCACGCAAGTCACTAGTAAAGACCCGAACTTCGGTCTTGCGCAAGGTTTTGTGCGATCTGTGAGACAGGAGCTGAGGATTGATATATACTTGCTTGAGGTTAAGTCATTTGAGCAAAATGCTGCAGATGCACTAGAGAAGATTGTTCAAAAAGTCTTACAGTCCAAGGATGCGGCAGGTGGCTATCTGGATTACGACTTTGCCTTCCATGACACTACCATATACACTAGCCGATGTTATTGGCCACCCGGGGATCAGAAGAACTTCCCAGAGTCGAAGGAAGATATCCCCAAGAAAATCCACGTCGGTAAGGCTGGTCTTCTTGACAGTCTGAAGTGGTTGGAATACCGCGAAGAGGACCTGGATGATGTTGAAATCGAGGTTCACCTACAGTATGTTGGTTCGAACTACAGGGTTCGTGCTCCTCAGCGCGTAGATTGCTGGCTTATAACTAATAGCTCTTAGGATGTCCTGGCCGCTTTGGGCTATGTTGGGAGCACAAATGAGCTGGGCCTAGAGGGAAGTGGAACCGTTTGGCGAGTTGGCAAGCATGTCACCGACCTTGTGGCCGGTGATGAAGTCTCAGTGGTGAGTCCTGGAATCCTTCGCACACATTTTGTCGTCAATCAGAAACACTGCAGGAAGCTGCTCAGCGGGCTCTCGATGAAAGATGCAGCAGGCATGGCGCTGGCATACTTGACAGCGATTTACTCGCTGGACTATGTGGGACGGGTTCAGAAAGATCAGGTATGCTCTGTTTTAATCTTGCATTATATGACTGCTTGGTAATAGTACATAGACTGTTCTCATCCACTCTGCATGTGGGGGTGTCGGTCTAGCCGCTGTTCAAATATGCAAGATACATGGTGCCAAAGTATGCAAGGCGAGAAGTACTACTCCCTGTCTTTCCTGACAAATGAGCACAGATATATGCAACCGTTGGGACTCAAGCAAAGAGGGACTATCTCGTACATAAATTGGGCATCCCCTCTTCTCACATATGTGATTCCAGGAGCACAAGCTTCCTTCAGTCCGTATTGGAAGCAACAGGCGGACGTGGCGTGGATATTGTCTTGAACTCGCTAGCTGGGCCCTTGCTGCATGCCTCATGGGCGTGCGTTGCCCCATTTGGGAAGATGGTTGAACTGGGGAAGCGGGACTTTCTCCTCAACGGCATGCTCACTCTAAAGCCCTTTATCCAAAACCGTGCCTTTTTCGGTGTCGACCTACTCCAGATATTCTTAGAGAACTGGGTGATATATGAAAAGTCAGTATTCCGAGCATCAGACCTTCATTGACGCTTTGCAGGCTAATGCTTCAGTCAGCGTGATTGATAAATTCACGGCATTATATACCCAGGGCAATATTCTTCCCATTTACCCGGTCACAGTGTTCGAAGCCCGCGACATAGCGGAAGCCTTGCGGTATATGCAGCAAGGCAACCATATGGGGAAAATAGTAGTAAGAATGCCTGATAACTCTAGCGAGCTGTCCAGCTCGATGATAGAAAGGTCGGTGTCATTCCACCCGAATGCATCCTACCTTCTCGTTGGTGGGCTGGGAGGATTGGGACGAGCAGTATCCGTATGTATGGTAGAGAGAGGGGCACGTAACCTAGTGTTTCTTTCTCGAAACGCAGGAGTTGCTGAGGACGATAAGGAGTTTATATGCGAGCTCGAGGCTGCAAGGTGCCATGTGCAATGTGTCAGGGGTAGCGTGGCAAGCCTTGCAGACGTCCAAAACGCCGTTACAATATGCAAACCACCTTTGAAGGGAGTCCTGCAGATGTCACTGTGCTTGAAAGTGAGTTCAGGCCATCTAGGCGATAATCTGGAAAGCGCACTGATTACTCTATGTATAGGATGGCGTCCTTGCCGGAATGAGCTATGAGGATTGGCGGGCATCAATGGCCCCCAAGGTCCAGGTACATGGAACTTGCACGAGGCGGTCTCAAGGGAAGATTTGGACTTCTTCGTTCTATTTAGCTCTGTAGTTGGACTTTGTGGCAACGCCGGGCAGACCAACTACGCAGCTGCAAACACGTTCCTTGAAGGTTTCTCACGATACCGTCGCCAGCTTGGTCTGCCATCCTCAGTCTTGGTGCTAGGAGCCGTTGGCGAATTTGGCCTGATCAGCCGACAGCCAAAACTCCTACAGTCAATGCAAGCTGTTGGCACGTGGCTTTTGGATGAGGATGAAGTTTTAAAGGGCTTGGAAATATGTATCATGCGATCCCATGATTCGATCGCCACTGATCCAGAAACCGAGATATCACTGTCCGTTATAACTGGACTTGGGTATACAAAACCGCTTTCCGATGCATCAGTCCGACTCTTGTGACATAGTCAAGACGCTCGATTTGCACCTTACGCAAACATCGATGCTTCCTCTGAGCAGCGACCCGGTGACGCCAGTAGCAACATTCTCCGAGATCTAACCCTCCGGGCAGACAGAGACCCTAACATCATGCTCACAGAAGAATCTCGCAGCCTTATTATACAGGAAACAGTTCGCTTGATTTCCTCGTCCCTCATCGGATCTCAAGATCTCGACGAAGGACAGAAATGGGAGATGCCGATTGATTCCCTTGCATCACTCGAAATCAAGAGCTGGGTCCGGCGGAATATGAATCTCGATGTCAGTGTGGCTGAGATTGCTAGTTCACGAACGATTGGAGGGCTGGCGCTTATGACTGCAGATCGCTTGGTAGCGCATTATAAAGCTAAGCTTGAGAATCCGAGCGGTGGTGTGCTTGATGAAGGGACAACAGAGATGCCTAGCGAAGTGGTGGACTAATAGCTGATGAGGCTATGTAACAAATTGTATTGTCGTCGAATTTCTATTTGCTTCTTCGGTGCAATGTTCTCTAGATTGTTATAGTCTAAGTGGCTACTACTACGCCATCAGACAATTAGCTCTACGATGCTAAATCAATAAGACCATTTTAGTCCATATATTACTCTGTGCAAAAGCAAACCCGAAAAACATACACAGCTTTTCGGTGTATCTAATTGCCAATAATAACCCCGAGAGTATCTTCATGCTCAGAAGCTAACTGCATCTCTCGGGGTATCTATTCCCGAAACTTCAAACACCCTCTCTCTTTTTCTCTCTCGCCCGTCCGTCAACTCCGTACTGACCAGTTACATACATACATACATACGACGCTAAGAAAATAGATCTCAGATTTAATATGTATTAAGCAGTAGTAGTGAGATTTAGCCAAGTAGTCAACAAACAAAATGCATGCAGAATGCCACTTTTTAACAAAATGAAAGAAGAAAAAGGGCGACGGCAATCGAACCTTCCCAAAACGGCAAGTTCAAAAAACGACGGGATCTACGTCATTACGTAGTTGAGTCGCCGGAATTCAATCACGGGATGCTGATTGGTGGGAATGCGAGATGGGTGGTCAATTGCCGGGAGTCAGGTGACGGTTGTTGGATTGGTATGTACGGAGTACTGTGTATGTTTGTATGTATGTATGTATTTGTTGTATGCTGAGGTTTACTTGGTTTTAGTATGCTTATGTAGCATTATGTTCTTCACAGGGGTTATACTGAGTGAGTAGTGGTGTAGTGAGTTGGGGTTTATGGGCTGATCTGAGATGATCGGTAGTGTGGTGATGATAGTAGATGGGGGTACTCGGTCCGAGGTAAGTATTTGAGGCACCTGGGGTAACATTCATTCTTCAGGGTCCCCTACCCTGTCTTTGTTTGTATGGATGTATTTTTGATACCTCAAATAGGGTGTATTGATTGATTAGTCGATAGATAATATGGACTTTATTGATGGTAGGTATATTTATTGTCGTAGTGAATATATATGTTGAGACCACAACACTAATATCTTCAAGAGGGGAGCTACATTCAATTCACTACAAAGATACTCACTATTTCAATCATGGATTTACCTATCATCTCAAAATTGAGACGAAATTCTTGAATCCGGGGTGAGAGTTTAAATCCAAGAGCATGACGTGCCGCGCTGACTTAAGCCTACGATTTCATTTGCTGAGAGGGTGCTTCTGGATTTCCAGGCATGTGAAAGTCAGGGAGAGTTCTTTTTCTTTTTGCCATCAATGTACTAGTTACTAAGTAATAGTATGTCATGGGAAGACCACCGCAGGGGTCAGCTCGCAGCTCCTGGTGACGGGTGACGCTCTGCATGTGATGGTCCCTGGAAACTCACTAGTATTTTGTCAAGAACAGGGGAGGAGATCATATGTCTACTGTCTACTTATGATTCTCTACCGACTAGTTATAGAAACCGTCATTCAGTCAGTCATAAAGCACAGGCCAGACAGAAAGACAGACAGACAAGAGAAAGGACCCATCGAACCCACTTTAGACATTTTTATGAGTCCTCAAAAAGTAGGAGGAACATTACCGGACCGGAAAAGGGAGAGAAGATAGAAGATAAGAGGAGGGGGTCATAGAACGGTAATCGTACGGTACATACCAGTTGGAATTGAATGGGGAAGATGAGCCTCGGCCGAGTGAGCAACTCAGTCTCTCCCCCGTCGGCTTCTGAATGCCTGGCTTCTCTCTTTCTTCCCCCGGATCTCCTGCTGCTTAAAGATCTACTAGTTCCTACCTTCTTTTTGACCCTTTAAACTCCTCTTTTTCATCTCTTTCCCCCATTCATCTTCTGATTTCTCTTTCCTCACCCTCTCCTCCTACATCTTCTTCTCACAACGATGGCAACCGCCCCTAGAGTAATCGTTGTCGGCGGTGGACGTGAGTTGATCTTCACCGCCAGGAAATAGCTTTCCCCGCATTGCTGACCATTGCCTCGTCTCTCAGTGTCCGGGCTTAGTGCCGCCCACACCGTCTACCTTAACGGTGGAAATGTTCTCGTTCTAGACAAGCAGGGTATGTTTACAATCTACCACTCCCTGCGATATTAGCAGTCGCATTATTCTTGTTTTTGTAAGGACCTGGGATCTGACCCAAACAGCCTTCTTTGGTGGCAACTCCACCAAGGCCACTTCCGGCATTAACGGCGCCTTGACGCGCACCCAGGTCGACTTGGGCATCGCCGACAGCGTCAAACAATTCTACGATGATACCCTTAAATCGGCCAGAGACAAGGCTCGTCCCGAGCTGATCAAGGTCCTCACATACAAGTCCGCGGCTGCCGTCGAGTGGTTGCAGGATGTCTTCAACCTCGATCTCACCCTTGTTTCCCGGCTAGGGTAAGTATTGCGCTCTCCTTGTTCATCTAAACTGTGGCCGCGCAACCCATGCTAATTTGTGCAGCGGTCACTCCCAGCCTCGTACGCATCGTGGCCACGATGCCAAGTTCCCTGGAATGGCCATCACATACGCCCTCATGCAACGGTTAGAAGAGCTCACCGAGGCTGAGCCCGACCGTGTTCAGATCCTCAAGAAGGCCCGTGTGACCTCCATCAACAAGTCCGGAAACAATGTCACGGGTGTTACCTACGAGTACGATGGCGAGACGCATACTGCTGAGGGTGTGGTCGTTCTGGCTACTGGTGGTTACGCCGCTGACTTTGGCGATGGCTCGCTCCTGAAGCAGCACCGCCCCGACACCTTCGGTCTGTCCAGCACCAACGGCACTCACGCCACTGGTGATGGTCAGAAGATGCTGATGGAGATCGGCGCCAACGGCATCGACATGGACAAGGTTCAGGTGCACCCCACGGGTCTTGTCGACCCCAAGGACCCCACCGCCAAGTTCAAGTTCCTGGCTGCTGAAGCCCTGCGTGGTGAGGGTGGTCTCCTCCTCAACTCGGACGGCCAGCGGTTCTCCGATGAACTGGGTCACCGTGACTATGTCTCGGGACAGATGTGGAAGGAGAAGGAGAAGGGCAAGTGGCCCATCCGCCTCATCCTCAACAGCAAGGCATCCAATGTCCTGGACTTCCACACCCGCCACTACTCCGGCCGTGGTCTGATGAAGAAGATGACCGGCAAGGAGCTTGCCAAGGAGATCGGTTGCGGTGAGGCTGCCCTCAAGAAGACTTTCGACGACTACAACCTGATCGCCGAGGGCAAGAAGAAGGACCCTTGGAACAAGCGTTTCTTCCACAACCTGCCCTTCAGCATCGATGACGACTTCCACGTGGCGCTGATGGAGCCTGTTCTGCACTTCACCATGGGTGGTATTGAGATCAACGAGCACGCCCAGGTTCTCAACTCCGAGAAGGAAGCCTTCGACGGCCTCTACGCCTGCGGTGAGCTGGCTGGTGGTGTCCACGGTGCCAACCGTCTGGGTGGTTCTTCCCTGCTGGGCTGTGTCGTGTACGGTCGCGTTGCAGGTGACAGCGCTAGCCAGTACCTCTTCCAGAAGCTGCTTTCCGGCGGTGCCTCCACGGCCGCCCAGCGTCTGGGCCAGATCTCCCTGCACATCGACCCATCTACCCCTGGCAAGATCTCCGTCGAATGGGGCGGCTCCGGCGCCGCCGGTGGCCAGGTCGCCGCCGGTGCTGGAACCCCCGCTGCCGCGGCCCAGGGCGCCAAGTCGGCTGCCACCCCTGCCGGTGCCGCTGAGACAGCCAAGCCCAAGGAGCCCGCCAAGTTCAGCATTCCCGAGAAGGAATACTCGATGGAGGAGATCGCCAAGCACAACAAGAAGGACGACCTGTGGATTGTTGTCAAGGGTGTCGTGCTGGACGTGACCAACTGGCTCGACGAGCACCCCGGTGGAGCTAATGCTCTCTTCAACTTCATGGGCCGCGATGCCACAGAAGGTATGTCTTCCATAACTTTGTCCCATCCCATCACCGAAAAAAATATACTAACTTGACTACCCTTTTACAGAGTTCGCCATGCTCCACGACGACGAGGTCATCCCCAAGTACGCCGGTCACATTGTGATCGGCCGTGTCAAGGGCCAGACCCCTAGCCTTGAGCTGTAAAACATTTCCATGAAAATTAGAATCGGAGATATACACGTTGGAGAAAGAGAAAGTAACCCGGAAGAGATCACATACCCATTTTTGTCTTTTATTTATTTGTCGAGCATGTTCATGTCCACACGTCCCTTGGTGATGATGAATAGTTTTCGTTTTTCTCAGGAGTCACTCTGTCTTTAGTATGTAAGATACAATCTTAGTCAATTGTTCTTAGACAGTCACAAGCAGATATTGTAAGACAATTGGTAATGATAGTAGCACATAGAGTAAATAGTAGCTGCAACGATACCAGTACTAGTATATCATGTTTAGTGAAGTTTGAATAGAACATGTGTGTATATGTATATATATCCTAGCGGCAGGGATCCATTGATCCGATCCGATCATTATAATACAATATATCAATCAACATATATGAATAAGCCGGGAGTACTTAGTCCTCGGCAAATCCGGGTCATTGCTGCATGTGCCTCAAGATCATCTTCAGACGTCGCACGGCAGGCCCCTCCTCCGTGCTTCCGGACTCCTTATTGGATTCCAGTTCCTTGGCCGCAGCCTCTAGCGTAGGGCGCAGGTAGCCCCAGACTTCGTCTTGGTATCGGTCCTCGACACTCAGCCAGTCTGCTGCACCGGGGAGACCGGTCAGCACGGTGTCTCGCAGGGTGGCTACGTCGGAATGACTTTCTGGTGGTAGGGTGTCTAGAAAGTCGCCAATGTCTGGGACTAGACTGCGGGATGTCAATCTATTATTATTGTCGTGCGAGGGCAGCGCTGTGGACGTTGTTGGGGGTGTGAGACGACGGAAGGACTCGATCATTTCTTTTTCTTCAGCCGTGAGTTGCATTGGTAGCAGCTCTGTTTCGACAAGCTCGGCGGGCTCGCCGGCTGTGGGAGGAAATTCGGGATCGAAGGC